TTTTGTCTTTTCTTTTATTTCAAACTGATTATGCTGAGTTGTCCGTATGTATACAAGTAAATAGGCTAAAAACAAACCAATTATAATGTGCTTAATATTTAAGCTTCTTGATCACCCATACATTAACCTCCCCGCCCAGCAGTCCAGCCAGATCCCTTCTCTGCAAACACCTAAGCAGGGCATTCGGGGTGGTCTTTCATCCTGCAAAAAAAGGAGTATTGCAAAAATTACCGTGCAGCAATTTATATCAACATGAAATTTATGTATGGTCTAGGGTCAGTGATTTTTCCCTAAGAATGATGATGATATGAAGTCATCACTCTCATGGGTATGAGCCTGAATGTGTATGAATGAGAATGATTCATTCCGCAACACGAGATAAGCAAATAACATTCCGAATTTACATCTTTATAAAGAGTCCGTGATTCACATCATTTCGGTGAATATGCACTGCCATTCTCATCCCTACTCAATGAGGGGGCGTCTCCACCCTCACCAGGACACTATATAAAGAAAAAAGTGAATACGTTTGTGATGAATGTTTTTTTTAAGTTTTCTGTTCATGTCCTTTTTCGAAAATTTTCGAAAATTTAAAATCAATATACTGTGAGTTGAATTCCAGTGTCACAATTTCTCCAAATTGCTTGGAAAATGCAAAAGAGTTCCCGGAGCCAGAGCTTCCCTTCCCCAAAGCGCCTGGATCACAGCCTCGCGTCTTCGGTGCTTGTGATTTCTTGCGCATTCAGGCCCCGCCCCCTTTGAAACATCCTGTGGGCGCCAGTTTTTGTATAACTTTTGAATTATTACACTGTATTCCCCAATGTCGTTTTACGATCGATATTTAGGAGTAGCTGTCAGTAATATTTAATTGTGTATAGACATATGGAGACCAATAACTGAATAATTCACTAACTAAATAGTTGTTTTTCTTAAAAAAAAAAAAAAAAAAAAAAAAAAAAAAAAAAAAAAAAAACTGAAGAAGCATTTCATATTGAACCATAGATATTTCTGCTAAATTTGATTGTAGGAAATACATAAAGATCTGAAGAGTATAACAAGTAAAAGAAATGCAGTAATCATCTGGATTTCCAAGATCGACTACGTCTCTAAGCACTGCCATTGTTACTTAATGTTATCTAGACTGGTTTGTCTACTCTTATTGCAACTACTTACTTATCGTTTTTTCGATTGGTTTGTCTGTTCTCAACCATCGGTCATTAATATCAATCAGATCGCTTGTTTTAAGGAAAAATAGTGCATTATCAGCATCCCTGATCCGCGACTCACCCAGGGCGGTCTCCGAACAGGAAGGAGCGACCGGAAGGCCCTTTGTCGAGGCTCCTGAGGGCGGCCATCTCGGTGTCGGTCAGGGAGAAGTTCCAGACCTGTTTGCCGGAAGAAGTATTATGAGACGAGGGGAACACACCAAGAGGGACAAAAGGTTGATTAAGGCGTAGATTTTTCTCCTTTGTTTAAGAGTAAGTCTGCTGTGTCTGGGTAATTGTGTACCGACAATATATGTATAATAATTACTGATCATGACACTAAGCCTTTGGCCACTCGACTCACGTCGAAGTTGGCGGCGATGCGCGAGGGCGTGACGGACTTGGGGATGGCGATGAGGCCCTGCTGGACCAGGAAGCGGAGGAGGACCTGCGCCGCCGTCACGCCCTGCNCCTCTGCTCTGCCTCTGCCTCTGTCTCTGTCTCTTGTCTCTGTCTCTGTCTCTTGTCTCTGTTCTCTGTCTTCGCTCTCTCTCCTCTCTCTCTCTCTCTTCTCTCTCTCTCTCCTCTTCTCCTCTCTTCTCTCTCTCTCTCTCTCTCTCTCTCTGTCTCTCTCTGTCTCTCTCTGTCTCTCTCTGTCTCTTCTGTCTCTCATCTGTCTCCTCTCCTGTCTCTCTCTCTCTCCTCTCTCTCTCTCTCTCTTCTCTCTATCTCTCTCTCTTTCTCTCTCTCTCTCTCTCTCTCTCTCTCTCTCTCTCTCTCTCTCTCTCTCCCCCTCTCTCTCTCTTCTCTCTCTCTCTCATCTCCTCTCTCTCTCTCTCTCTCTCTCTCTCTCTCTCTCTCTCTCTCTCTCTCTCTCTCTCTTCTCTCTCTTCTCTCTCTCTCTCTCTCTCTCTCTCTACTCTCTCTCTCTCTCTCTCTCCACCCTCCCTCTTTTCCTTTCCTCCCATTTCTCCCTGCTTCCCTTCCTCCTCCCTCCTTGTCTTCTCCCCTTCTCCCGGCTCTCCCGCTCGCCCTCACCCTCCCGTTTCGAACCGGTTTCCCCCCAGCCTCTCCGGTCGGCCCTCCCTCCCCGCGGAAAGCCTGGCTTGGGCCCGGACGGAGAGGGGAAGCAGCAGACTCCCTGTGCTTTACGCGGGGCACTGCTATCGCCGCTCATCAGATATGAATGGCCCGAGGGCGGTCTTGGCTGGGTGAGAGGGACTTCGATCTTGTCGACAAGTGCGGGCCCTTTTCTCTCCCTTTCTCTCTTTGTCTCTGTTCTCTTGTCTCTGTCTGCTGTCTCTGTCTCTGTCTCTGTCTCTGTCTCTCTCTCTCTCTCTCGTCCTGGTCTCTCTCTCTCTCTCTCTCTTCTCTCTCTCTCTCCTCTCTCTTCTTCTCTCTCTCCTCTCCTCCCTCTCTCTCTCTCCTCTCTCTCTCTCCTCTCT